ATCAACAGTTGTGGACACGGACATCAAGCATGCACATTAACACATAATTACTCAAGTCTTAAAGAACTAAGAGAAATCAAGATTCAGGTAATTGAAAATACTTCATCATGTATAATATAGATTTCAGTATTGCACATTTTACAGTTACCATTTAGCAACTTAGCCACTTCGAGGCTTTATTTTGATTTAAAGGTCATATATCCATAAACTTACATAGTTACATGTTATAAAATCCAGATTCAGGCACTTTTAATAGTTCATCATTTATGGATTTCATTTAAAGGCTTCCACCATTTAAGGAGCCATTAAGGTAAACTGGAGATCTCACAAAATACGTATTAACTCATTGACATATTGATATCAAAAATCTAATATCAAAGTAAACAGGAGATCTCACAGATTACATATAAACTCAGGGACTGAGGGACATATAAGTGATATCATATCAAATTAAACTGGAAATTTCACAGAATGCATATAAACTCAAGGATTGAGGCACATATCACAAATCTCATATCAAATTTAACTGGAGATCTCACATAATGCATACAAACTCAGGAACTGAGGTACATATCACAAATCTCATATCAAAGTAAACTGTAACACCCCTAAATTTTACAGATATTTAAAACCTATAAAACAAAGGCTAATCTCTTATTAATTCTCAAACAAAGCATAACTAGACATAGTAGTCGGGGTGCTATGCCACATCTGAGCTGGAGAACTCAGATGCACACGCTAAACTAACTAACAAAGCATAAGCCATGACTAATATCCAAATACAAATCAAGGCACGCAGACCATCTCATCCAGTCTAGAACTATTTAACTAAGTCCACGGGTCCACTAGCGCGCTCCGAAGCTACTCATGGTTCCTGAAAAACATTCGGTATAACAACCGTCAGCGAATAATGCTGGTAACCCACTCCAACAAGGTTAAGTACAATATAGGTAGATATAAGAAACTCATTTTTGAAACTGGAATACATATATACTTATGAAACTCTAATTTAAAACCAAGGACTAACTCAATCAAGCAATGACAGACACATTCAATATAATTAATCATACACATAAAGATTCTAGCACGCATCATAAGGTCACAAGACTATCCACTATCAATCATATCAATATCCAATTACTATTTCAGACACATCAACAATAAAACACGTATGCACATATGGTGGTGCCGCATGACCATTCACATGACCCGAACCTTGAGTTCCATTGCCAAGGGGTCAGTGCATATAGCCCTGACATGGCCCTGCAGCACTTTAGCTTGTACCGCAGCACAAAGAGATTGATCGCAACGAATCAATGAATCGCATCTCATTTATAAACGTTTGATCGCAACCAAACGGTGGACCGCAGTCATATTATCATGTATATCTGATCGCAACCAGATTATGGACCGCAGCCATATATATATATATATATATATATATATATATATATATATATATATATATATATATATATATATATATATATATATAAACAGCCGATTGTTCTCAACCAATCCAACTGCCTGTATAGCCGACCGATCGCAATCGGTCGGGTTAATACCTGATGGTTCTCAACCCATCAGATAGTCATTATAGCCAATTGATCGCAACCAATTGGGGTATCATGCACAATTAACATAGAAGCCAAACAACATGTAACCCACATTAACACATAACGAGGGGGAATCATCGGGGAACACTTATCCTATCATAACTCACAACAAACCACACTAGCCCACCCATGACACTTCCTATGGGATCATACACCTTCCTCCAAGGTCAACGGGATACCAATTCAACTAGCATGCAATAAACAAGACTCTTTTATCCTAAGAACAGTACCTGATACACCAAACTAGACTCACACATGACAAACGGGGTACAACGGGACACCACGGGACACGAGGAAACATCAAACGGGGAAAAACATCACAACCTACACCAAGATTCCAGAGGGTGCCCGGCGAGCAGTCGCTTGCCCGCTGGGAATTGGGAACGGGGCAGCGGGTAGGTGGCAGGCACCCCTGCCCCCACCTACCCCCCACTGACTCCTATGTAATATTTTGGTCCCTGGATCCTTCGTGGAACCCGAAACCATGTCCAGACACATTCAAACACAAACGAAGACGCCGCGTATTCAAGTAACGGATTTAAACCAAGAACCACACCAAATACATCCTAACACGACTCCTAAACATGCCAAGACCCAACACCCGAACATGCAAAATCCCACCCAAACATACCAAAACCACATAATACGAAATCCACGTTTATTACCCTAGGGCTCTAGACATAATTGAAACACAAGATCGTTTATATAATTTATCATAGAATCAAGAACATCAAGATTATCACATAAGCATCAAGATTAACACATAAACATCAAGATTATCTCGTAAACACAATATAAATCCTAGGCAAAGCTCTATCAAGACTCGAGCATAGAATCATATATCAAAGGAGCCAATGAAGAAGATATAGCAAGGAAAATAGGTTTTGTTGAGGCATGGGTTACCTCTTAGCCTGAATTAATCCTCCCTTGGCTATTAAGGTTCTTCCCTAAGATTTCCATCCGATTGATCTCCCTAGGCTTGGTGGTGGGGAATCCTTTGGGAATAATTTCGTGTAATATAACTATGGGTGGTAAGGGTTCTAATTGCTTTCTAACCCCCTATTTATAGAATCAAGAATCCTAATTAGAATTTGAATAGTAAATGCCTACTTTCTTTATTCATAATGGATATATAAGTCTAGGATTCCTAATTAGAATCTGACTAGTAAAAGGTTTACTCTCTTTATTCCTAATAGGCTTAAGACTCTAGTTTAGGCAAGGGTCCACAATCCATGGTGGACCACATTAATTAATTAAAGGGAATCCTAACCAAATTAAATCCTTCTTAATTATTAGTAACAGAATTAATTAAATAATCAATCCGGGATTGAAGGCCGTAACACGGGGTGTTACATAAACTGGAGATCTCACAGAGTCATAGATTACGTAATACATATGAACTGATAAACATAAAACATGCTCAGATTACAAAATACCAAATTGGAACACATGCACACAACACACATGCTCATAGATTCACAAAATAACAACAATGTAAACATATAATATTAAGGTTTAACAAGTACTTCGTTTCTCCAAAATAATCCCCCGAGAACAAAGGGATTCGAGTCCTAGCTAGCAAACTGCAATCTACAGCCACAGGGACAACTAGAGCTTCCACCGGACTAGGGCTTCCACGGGACTAGGGCTTCCACGGGTGATCGGACTAGGGCTTACACGGACTAGGGCTTCCACCAGACTGACCGGAGACTGTGGTGACTAATACGACTCTGAGTCTCTAAGGCTCTAAGAGATGAGAGAACTCAAAGAGTAAGAGAAAGGCAGAAGACTTAGAAGAGAGAACGAGAGATTGAAAGAATAATCTAAGAGATGAGAGAAGTAGAGAACTCAGAAACCAGAGAGAACGAGAGAATGATAGAATTCTATAGAAGGCTTGGATGCGCAAATGATGAAATGACCTAGGGTTTCAGCTCTCATTCATTATCTATACTACACTATCACGACGTCGTATAATACATGGTAAATTAACCCTAGTGTTACTTCGGATAGTCAGATGGGTTCAGGTGGCATTTATTGCCCCCAATCCGAAGCGTCTTACCCGCCAATGTTGACACCAACGGGTCGGTTAATCGATTTCGGATACGACCCAAGCACACCAGTCTTTCATCGGGTTTCGGGTCGGGTGGGTGGGTCGGATAGTTCGAATATTGCACAGCCCTAGGGTTGATGAATAAGGGAATGGAATTGGGAATTTTACTATCGGTAAAGAAGATGGATGGAGACTTATGGAGAGGAGAGTAATCTGAGCAATAAGAGGAAGGAGAAATTACATGTTGACCATTATTTTAATTTTTAATAGCAAACAAACGAAAGTGCTAATGGAGGACTAAATTGAGTAAAATGATCAAAACCGAGGATTAAATTAAGTACAAAAAGTCATTTAGGACTATATCGAGTAAAACCATTATAGTTGAGGACTATATTGAGTATTAACTCCTTAATATATTTTCATTTCACATTTCACAGAGTAATAAAAAACAGGGAAATGACCAGGACTATGTGGTCTAATGGTACCCGGGTTGGACTTCTGTTTGGAAGATTGTGAGTTCGAGTCTTAGTGGAGGCGTTATTGGTTCTTTGTGTTTCAGTAGGTTGAGAAAGTATATGAACAGTTACTACATTGTAATAGAGCCAGTAACATTAAAAAAAAAACAGGGAAATCTAAAAAAAAAACATACTAAACATACTACATTGTAATAGAGCCAGTAACATTATCTAAAAAAAAAACATACTAAACATACTACATTGTAATAGAGCCAGTAACATTAAAAAAAAAAACAGGAAAATCTAATCTAGAATTGAAACACAAAAGTAAAAAAAAAACAGGGGAATGTGTTGAATCGGCAAAAGGTAATATAGAATTGAAACACAAAAGTCAATAAATATGACATGAGGTAACGTCCTGCGCAGTAACAACTCTAACTGTCTTTTTACAAAGTAGGCCAACTGAAACAGTGTGAATGATGTGAAGTAAATTACCGGAAGTTAAACGGCAACCTACCGGTAAGGGCAAAATATGTCGTGTATGTTGTCAAGAACAAGTAACAATGCTCAAAGTACAAAAATTTTGTCTAAAAATGTCATGGGCAAAAAGTAAATAAGCTTTTTTGCGTATGCATTGATATAGATTAGCGTAGGCAGCCACCTAAGCATCCCTAAATCGAGAAAATTGTACCCTTAGATATGTTTGGGCATTTTTCGGGCTTGACCTGTGTTTTCACAGGCCCGACCCAGTCAACCCAAAACAAGTCAAACTCATGCTCAATCGGGCCAAACTCAACCTCACTTATCCTCAGCTATTCATTTCCACCTCACCCTCTCACCCACTCGCATCTCTCAGCCTCACCCTCTCGCATCTCTCACTCTCTGCCTCAGGCTACCTCACCCTCTCACCCTCTCACCCTCTCACCCTCTCGCATCTCTCTCGCCTCTCTCACTCTCTGCCGCCTCAGGTTCTTAGCGACTCAGCGATTCTTACTCTCATTGTCTGTGGAGACTGCCCTCTGGCTCAAGGAGTGTACGCTTGTTTCCATATTTCGGTAAGCTTCGCATCCTCTTTAGTTACTCTTAGTCACCAACAAAATCTCTTGATTTTTCTAGATTTAAGATTTCCTACATAACTGTTCTCTATTTTCTAGGAAAGACAATATTTGAAGAGTTTGAACTTTGAATAGTTTTTTTGGCATGTCTTACTGATTTTCTAAAATCTGAAAAGTTTTTTTTTTTTGATCAGAAGATTAATTTTCTGGATTTTTATTTTGGCTATTTTCAATTTGATAGCTCATAAATTATGTATATTTTATTTATCTAATTAAAAAATAAAATGAACTTATATAAATGTTTTAAGTTTTTATATTAAGTGTGTAGTTACTATATAGTTTTTGTATTAAATGTTTTAAATATTTACTGCAATTACTAATTACTATACATACATACACATATATATTTGAAATATTTCATTATGTTTAAATGTTTACTGTATTTAAATGGTTATTGTATTTTAAATAGTTGTCTAATATTTTAATAGTTACTACAAACAAAAAAAGTATATTTATTTTATTTGTACAGTTAGTCATTTATATAGTTACTCCAGTTAGTATCGTACAGGCTTTGCTCATGTTGCTCAACTAGTCATTTATGCTTAGCAGTTGCAGTTATGAGTCATTTATATAGTTACTCCAGTTAGTATCGTACAGGCTTTGCTCATGTTGCTCAACTAGTCATTTATGCTTAGCAGTTATGATTTGCTTTGTTTTTATTTATTTATTTATTTTTAAATTTTGAAATGTTATAAACTTCTAATTTCTAAATTCTAAGACTGTTGTTGACTTTCAGTATTCTAAACATCTTAACTACTTGAGAGTTCCAGAACAACAAGGTAAGTATCCTCTATGCATGCAACATTATAGAGGATGTATAAGAAATATGTGAAAATGTGATTATATGTGAATATACTATTAAGAAATCAGTGATGAATGTATGTGAATATATTGTTGAATTTGTTGCCGGTTTGCTAGTATTTTTATTTTTCTTTTGTCCCACTTTCAGTTTGCTCGTATAGTTTTTCAATAATGTTAATGACTTTGAGTATAGATGTATGATTATAGTGAAAAAGATATCCAACACTTCAGGTTTGATTTCATTATTCTATCATTTATATGCAGTATGAGAATAACATTATATTTGATAGCAGGGAAACATTTGATGTAGTATAGATGGGTGTTAATTTGCTTGAGAAATAAATAGTAGAGAGAACCTTTGATAGCAGTATGAGAATCAACAAAAGATAACATTTTTATACACTATCAAATTACTTACAACCTTAATATTCCATTATTGTTCAAGTTTATGGAACAACCCACTGATTTTTTTGGCCTGCCATGACTGACTAGTTACTCCTATAAAATGTTGGATTTCATTACTATACGTCTATATTGAAGAAAACACCCAACTAGTTGAGTTTGTTGATGTTTTGTTTTAGTTTTTGTCATTTGTAATTAATTGATTAGCTAAGTGATGTAATATTATCTTAGGATTTTTATTTATGAGTTCTCACTAGTTCTCTTGATGTAATAGTTGTTATTATTTCTTTATTTCTTTTGCTTTCAATCCTTAATTTTCTTTCTCAAAAGTTTCAAAATGTTAATAATTTCAGTATTTTTATTTAAAAAACAGTCACACTTCCCGATCCAAACTCGACCCAAGCCCGTTCCGGACACCCAAACCTGAAGAAATCCCGATAAATTTCAGTTAGGTTTTCGGATTCTAAATTTCAAGGCCCGAAAATTTTCGGGTGAGCCTTATGAGCACGGGTCGAACCTCAACACCCGAACCTTGTTCACTCCTACCCTTAGGCAGACATTAGTTAGCCGGTCGATTAGGCAGTCTAGGCGCTTGAGTCGGCCAACTCGGAACTTGAGTCGGCAAACACGGCGTCCAACTCGGCCGAATGTTTTTTTTTGGGTGTGCAATGTGTACATTTTTTTTTTCTTTTTTTTACTCGCCCGCCTAATGTTTTTTTTTTTTTTTTCGGGTGTGCAATGTGTACATTTTTTTTTTCTTTTTTTTCTTTTTATTACTCGCCCGCCTAGGTGTTAGGCGCTCACTGGGTGCCTGATTACCTGACTAGTGCCTAGGCACGTTCTACAACACTGCTCTCTTGTTTTATGCTTCACCCAGTTTAGAATGAATATTTATTTTTTGTTTCATTAATAGTGCATTTTGCTAATGTAGTTTATTGTCACAGAAATGACCAGCGAGTGTTGTTCAATTCAACTCATTGATGGGGATGGTACATTCAATGTTGCTGGAATTGAACATTTCATGACAAAGGTTAAATTGGCAGATTGTGGGCGTTCATATGTTGTTGTTTCAATTATTGGCCCACAAAGTAGCGGTGCGTTTTCCTTTTTCTTGAATAAGAATTTTAAGAGATCTTGCTCATACTTTTAGTCGTGTCAAATTTTTAATTTTTCAGCTATATAAAATTGTTAATATTTATCACATGCATTATCAGACTTATTCAGAATCATGCCTCCTTTTCCCTGAGAAATATTATTTTTCATTAGAACTGCTCAGTGGCTTTAATACCTTGCTTGCAAACAAGGAAAAACCTGTATCAACATATTCTAATTTCATGATATCCACATAAAAAAGTTGATTACTTTGATTTTGACAGGAAAGAGCACACTGTTGAATCATCTATTTGATACAAACTTTAGAGAGATGGATGCTTTTGAAGGAAGGCATGTGTTCATCAAGATCCTCTCATTATCTCAATTTTTATTTATTATTATTATTATTATTTTTTAATTTTTTTGTTTATTTAGTCTAAACAAACTGATTGAATTTCCTCTTTCTAGAACACAAACCACAAAAGGTATTTGGATGGCTCAATGTGTTGGAATTGAACCCTGCACCCTTGTAATGGATTTAGAGGGCACCGATGGAAGAGAGAGAGGAGAGGTATGGTTTATATATGTATATAAATCATATCCTTTGGTAAATTATTCGCAAATATCCATCAGTGGTTGGCAGTAGTAGTGATTGACACTAAGCTGATAATGCTTGATGGTTCCTTTAGCTTACTTGCCTCTGCAGCCATTGGTGGTTTGATGTGATGTATATATTTTAAAATTTGGCTTTTATTTTCTTGTTAGGATGATACAGCATTTGAAAAACAAAGTGCCTTGTTTGCCCTTGCTGTTTCTGATATAGTTTTAATAAACATGTAAGTTTGTCTTTAACGTAACACATACACATGAAGTCAATATTACAGAGTATATTATACAATTGAAAGCTTTTGTCTAACTAAGGTTGTAATATTCAGGTGGTGTCATGATATTGGCCGTGAGCAAGCAGCAAATAAGCCTCTGTTGAAAACTGTTTTCGAGGTAAGCTTTGCAAATTTGAATTTGTATTTATTTATTTATTTATATTTTTGTGCATGGGTGTTGTGGAGGGGGGCTATCGCTTTTGTTGTTCTGATTTTATAATATGCAGGTCATGATGAGATTATTTGGTCCCTCCTATAAAACTACCCTACTGTTTGTTATACGTGACAAAACAAAGGTACAAGCCTTCATTCTTATTTTCCTTCTCTTATTTCACGAAGTTATGACACACCCTATTTAGATCTCATTGGATATGAGTTTTCCTTTTCCTTGATAAGCTTTAAAATTTTGCTTTTTAGACCCCCCTTGGCAGCTTGAAGTCTTCTTTAAGGGAAGATATTCAGAAGGTACTGCTTGTTATCATTCTTTTTATTTCTTACTTGTATTGTAGTTGAATTTATTTATGCATTTACTTTGTTGACATCAGATCTGGGATACAGTCCCTAAGCCGGAAACTCACAAGGAAACTCCTCTTAGTAAATTTTTCAATGTGAGTCCCACTTAGATAAGCTCTGACATAACTGTACCTTCTCAATGCTGTCTGTGAGTACACATTTATTAAATTGAGTATAATGCTAGGTTGAGGTTGTCGCTCTTAATAGTTACGAGCGGAAAGAGGAACTGTTTAAAGAGCAGGTAATAAACACATTGGGTTCCTTGAAATTCATATATGTTTTGAGTTTTCAATACTTTCTATTACCATGCGTTTTTTTTTAATAATATAATAACTGAAATTGTTATTTCCTTTTGTTTGTTGAATTTATTTATTTATTTATTTTTTAAAGGTGGCTGATCTAAGACTACGGTTCTTTCACTCTATTACACCTGATGGGCTTGCCGGAGGCAGGCAGGCAGTTGTTCCAGCTTCAGGTTTTTCATTTAGTGCACAACAAATTTGGAAGGTTATAAAGGAGAACAAAGACCTTGACCTGCCTGCACACAAGGTTGTGACCTGAAAATCTGCTGTAAATATTCAGGTTTAACATTTTTCTACTTGCTTTTGATGTACATGATTATGGTCAAACTACAGGTTATGGTGGCTACTGTACGATGTGAAGAAATTGCAAATGAAAAATTTGCCTCTTTTACTGCAAATGAGGTATATTTAGATATTTGAGAAGATTTTATTTATTTATTGGTGCAAACAGTGCACTGTTTCCTCCACAATCTATGACAGTACAATCCTGCAACTATATAACTTGTAGGAATGGTGTCAACTTGATGAAGCAGTTCAGTCTCATGCTGTGCCTGGCTTCGGGAAGAAGCTTAGTTCAATGCTGGGTACTTTTCTAACAGCGTAAGCATATCTACTTTTGCCAGATAGCATGCAGTGCATTTATAAATTTGTATGTGTTTATGTACTTAAAGTACCCTATAGCTAATCTTGTTAGTTGTCATAAATCAATACATTGGCTCTGTGATCTTAGAATTAAATTTATAAATTCTCAGAAAGTAATTTTATGTTTTGGCATAAGCATTTCTTTCAAATAATGTTTCTTATCCTCTATTTTCATATTCCACTAGGCCCTTTTTGCAATTGAAGTGAATAAAGTAGGGATATAAAGGGCCAAGGCATATGAAAAGTCAAAGGGATGTGAAGGGCCATGGATAGTAAAGTAGGGATGTGAAGGGTCTTCTACATTGTGTTTAGCATGTATATATATGGCAATGTGTAGTTTAGAAAGAAGTAAGAAATATATAGAGAGTTTTATTTCTTAACATGGTATCAGAGCCCAGTGGGCATTGATCGGCGCAAGGAGGCGACGCTGCCGGAGGGAGCGGAGTGACCAACGTAGCCTCCACGCGCCGCTGCTAACCGGAGTTCCGGTGACCACGCGCCGGCGCGTGGGGGCGCGTGAGGCCTTTTCCGGCGACCTTTTTCGACGGCGACTCCACTGGGAGTTTCGTCGTGAATAAGAGAGTTAGGTGAAGAGTGAGAGGTTTTGGTGTTCTCCAGGTTTGTGGCAGTTGTGCTGCTGCTGTTTCTGCTGTCAAACTGCTACATGTGCAGGTTACTACTTCTGCTACCACCACTGCATACAAAGGAGGAGGCGGTGGTTTGGCCTTTGGAGAAGAGGAGAAAGAATAATTGGGCAGTAGGGTTTATGTTATTTTGTGTTGTTTATTGTAATTTGTGGCCTTATTAAGTTTAGTTTATATGTTGTTTGGGCTATGGGTCATAGGATTTGTCTCATATTTTGGTATGAGTTGAGTTAGTGCAGCTTATTCAATGTGAATCAGTCCGGGGTGCTGCAGTGATGGGCAACACGGATGCTAGCAGGGATGCGGACTTGGAATATGCCACGGCAGTTATGGGAGACCGATGGTTGAAGAAGAATTGGTTCGGGATGAACCAATATGTGTGCACCAGGAAAACACTGGTGTTGGGCAGCGCTAATAATGGTTTGTGGTGTGAGAGGCAGGAGTACTGTGGTGTTAGGCAGTGTTGATAACGGTGTGGGGTGCGAGTGGCAAGTGCGCTGTGGTGTTTGGCATGATTTTGGCTTCGTGGAAGCTTTGTTGGTGCAACAAGTTGAGCTGTGCACTGATTTGGCTCAACGTGGTTTGAAGATTGTTTAAGTGGTTCGAGATATGAGTGTTGATCTTGAAGGTTATGACTCAAGATGTGAAGTCCTATGGCTCATGTGATATATTTGTAACAAGTTGGGCATGATTGATATCTATGCTCCAAGCTTGAGGGGGAGGGTTAGAAGTGAATAAAGTAGGGATATGAAGGGCCAAGGCATATGAAAAGCCAAAGGGATGTGAAGGGCCATGGATAGTAAAGTAGGGATGTGAAGGGTCTTCTACATTGTGTTTAACATGTATATTAGTATATATATGGCAGTGTGCGTGTAGTTTAGAAGAAGTAAGAAATATATAGAGAGTTTTATTTCTTAACACAACTGAACAAGTGAGATGCAATAAATATAATCATCAAATAGGAAAAAAAAGAATACCAGTACTCTCTTAAATAAGATTGAGGCACAGATCAAGTAGAAGTAAAGTACCAAGTGGCACCACTAGTGGAGCTAGCCTTTGCCACTCCATGAATTCCATAATTTTGACTTTGTTGTTTTACTGCATTTTTATGTGTGTCGCTAGCTTCTTGTCTAGTCTGTTACCTTTCAAAATTACTTTTCACATATGAAATTTTTTGTCTAATAAATTAGATGATATAGTCAATTTGTTCAACATTCTTTGCATTTTCAGGTATGAGGCTGAGGTCACATTTTTTGATGAAGGTGTGAGATTGTCTAAGAGAATGCTGTTGGAAAAGAAACTGCTGCAGGTAATATTTTTTAATATTCTGCTTGATGTTTTTCTAGTTTCCGTGTTGTCCTGCAAACTGGTGAATTAATACGCATTATCCCCTATTCCCATTTGATTCTCTGGCCTTTAAAAGTCAAATGTAGGGCCTTTTTTTCCAAAGCTTTGACAACTGCCAGACCTTCATATTGCAATCCAGTTTAGGAGGCTTTACTATCTTGTGGCATTCTATGCCTCATATATGGTGCCAGATTTTATCTGTCTTTAAATGGGAAATCAACTATATCAAAGTTGGTTCTTAGAAGTGGTGCTTGAAAACTGATTAATGTGTAAATGAAACGAAATTTCACTGAGATATTACAGTTGCAGGAATGAAAATTTGTTCCTCTTTGTTGCTATTTGCTCTAATGCATATGCTGTTTTGCATGAACTATTGTTTCCTTGTGTTTGTAGCTTACCCTACCAGCCTATCAATCCATGCTGGGACATATACGATCTAAAACTTTAGAAACATTCAAAATGGAATTTGATATTGCATTGAATAAAGGGAAAGACTTTGCTATGGCTGCTCGTGGCTGCACTGAGTCCTCTATGGCCCAGTTTGATGAAAGATGTGCCGGTAAGAAATGTAGAATTATCATTTACTTTTCCTCTTGGCTTTGTTTTAAGGAAAATGCTACTTTTCCTTCCTAAGTTTCCCCTAATAATTCACCCCATTATGTGGCATATATTCATTGGGTGCTGTTGAAATTGAGGGATTGATAGGTCTGGCGGGTGGAGAATAACCACTACCCGCCAGTTAGGCGGAAGCAAAATATGTGAGAACCAAAGAACAAGAGAATAAAGAGAATATATTATATTGAAAGATTACAATAGATTATCTCTCTTTGTGTATATTCTATACTTTATGGACCTCTATATATACTAAACTAGATACTAAATTAGTCCTAATAGGAATAGGAAACTACTAATAAGAATAGGAAACTAAGACAACTTTCTTAATATTCAACACTCCCCCTCAAGCTGGAACATTTGGAAGTTCCAAGCTTGGATCAAAACAAACACTCTACCTCACTCAAAATTACAAATGAAAATTAAATGCAACTAGAGCTTCACAGTGCTGAATGGCTTCGGAGGGACAATGCAACCCTTGGAATGAAGGCACCAGGGGCGAAGCTTGTCATGAACATCCTTGGGAATGGGGCACCAAGGGTAAATACTAACACGAACACCATCGCAGCAACATAAGCACTCTAGGACGGATGACTTCAAAGAAGATTGCATTATGTCTGACCCTTCCTTGGGAATGAACACAAAGGCACCAAGAACGGAGCTGAACACAATCCTTGGGAATAAAGACGAAGACACCAAGGACCCTTGGGAATAAAGACGAAGACACCAAGGACGAAGCTAAACACGATCTTGGGAATGAACACACCGAGGGCGGAATTGAACACGAACCTCGGGAATGAAGATGAACACACCAAGGATAGAGTTGAACATGAACAACCTCCCGATAACAAAAGAGAGCGGTAGAGACAAAAAGGGAGCAAAGAATAGCAAAGGATGCAATAGAGCCCATAGTAATGAAGACAAAATAGCAAAGGATAACACACCGATTGTAGATAGTCGCACTCCCCCTTACTTGAAACATGGGAAATAATCAAAGGCCTTTATAGTAGTGCTGAAACTGACCATCCATGGGATAAGGCATACCGGAGATAAAGAAACAAAACACGGTTATACCAAAACACAAACACCATGGGAAAATGTTCGGCAACAAACCCAAAGAAGCCTTCAAATTTCACCAAAAAGTCGAAAGAAGGGCAAAACAACCATCTGAAAAATCTCGCCGGAAAATCTCGCCGGAGGCAGACTCCCGCGCCAGTGCGTGACGGCGGCGGTGGTGCGTGAGGACGACGGCGGTGGAGGAAAGCGATGAAATTTTCCAGATAAGGTCGCAAGAGGGAGAGGAATCCATTGGTGTAGGAGGTGAGATCACAAAATCACTGGAGAAGAGGAGATCTGGCCGGAAAAGCGAAAACACTCCCGACGATGGTGGTGGCGTGTGTGGGCGCGTGCGACGGTGAATGGCGACCGGATTTCAAGCGACGGCTCGCGACAAGGGTCCGAGTAAGGCTGTGGTGTTAGTTGCTTTGAACAACAACTAGAAGTGCGTCGGAACGAGAGAAAACAGTGGCGGCAGTGGTTACCCTCCGGTGGCGGCAGCGGCGGCGGAAAGCTAGGGTTTATATTAGGGTTTTAATATTTGAAGAAAAACAGCCCAGGAAAGTAGGCTCTGATACCATGTTGAAATTGAGGGATTGATAGGTCTGGCGGGTGGAGAATAACCACCACCTGCCAGTTAGGCGGAAGCAAAATATGTGAGAACCAAAGAACAAGAGAATAAAGAGAATATATTATATTAAAAGATTACAATAGATTGTCTCTCTTTGTGTATATTCTATACTTTATGGACCTCTATATATACTAAACTAGATACTAAATTAGTCCTAATAGGAATAGGAAACTACTAATAAGAATAGGAAACTAAGACAACTTTCCTAATATTCAACAGGTGCCATGAATTGGCTGACCCCACATACTTTTACTAAATAACCCAATTAGATGGTACCAAATTGAGAGGGAAATTTTAGGAGGGGTGCCTAGCATTACTCTTGTTTTAATGTCCATTGAAGACGTTGCTAACAAACATCAATCACTATACACCCATTACACCCTCTATTGGGCAGTAGGGAAGTGGAAAGTAGGTACTATACATTATTTTATTTTGCTACTTACCACATATGAACAAAGGAAGTACTATGCTTTTATCAGAAGTATCTCTATAAAGGAGTGAACTCTCTTCTGTTTATGATTGAATGTTATAAACTTGAGTTATATGAAGTAAAGGGGATTTGATAAAGGATTTTTTTTTTCAAACATACCAGTCATTTAATGAGACTCTTTTCCTTAAGTCTTCTGTTCTCTGTCCCAATCTTAAAGTAACAAGGTACGTAGAGGAATAAAGAAGTGCCCTGAACTTCTCTGACTATTCATAAATCTTCTTTGCACTTGGGTGGTTATTGTATCTTTAGAATTCAAGGGTCATAGTTTATTGGTTGTACTAATTTAAAGTTAATATGGAGTTTGAAGATTTTGTTCTGGTTTATCTAAAATAAGCACAAATAATTCTTTTTGCAGATGCTGTCATTGACCAAGCTAATTGGGACTCGTCTAAAACAAGATATAAGCTCACACGTGATATAGATGGACATATTGCTGTAGTCCGTGCATCCAAGCTGGCTGAACTTACAACACTTTATGAGGTATGATCACAAGCAGACTTTTAGCCCAAGTAGTACCAATGGGACAATATGACTAATCATAAATTTGTATTCTGTGCTATAAGATCCAGTGATTGTTGTCTTTGAACATCTTTTGGATATATGAACATATTTTATGATTTAAATTAAAGGCCACAAAGAAAGTTGTTTCTTTATTTATTATTCTTTTTTTGGGGGTTTTGGGGTGGGGAATATTGGACTCTCAATATAATTAATTAACATTTGTGGGAGTTTTTGTGCAGACAAAGTTGAATGACGAATTATTTGGACCAGTTGGGTCTGTATTAGCTGGAGTTAGTGATGATCCATGGACAAAAATAAGACAATTCCTACAGGATAAGACAAAAGCTGCAGTGTCATCTTTTTCTGCAGCACTTTCTGGCTTTGAGATGGATAAAGAAACCAAAGATAGTATGCTATCAAAGTTGAAGGATTATGCAAGAGGGGTAGTTGAAACAAAAGCAAAAGAAGAAGCTGGAAGGGTTTTGATCCATATGAATGATAAGTACTTAATGACTTAATGTTTTGGTTGTAGCAACTTCTAGCCTTACATTTTCTAAAAATATTAAATGTATGAGCATATTGAGAAGTGCTCCAGAATTGTTGGCAGGTTTATAACATCATTTAGCTATGATTCCGATTCAAAACCCCGAGATTGGACATGTTGGCAAGACATCAATGCAATTACCAAAACCGCAGAATCATCTGTATGGCTCTGAATGATAAATTGAGAAGATTGTGATGTCTCATCACCCATTTCAGTGTTGCACTTTGGTCTGACTGTTTTAATGTTTTCCCCAGTCTCTCAAATTACTCTCAGTTTTGGCTGCTATTCGCTTGGAGGAAGAAACTGACAATATTGAAAAGATCCTTTTCGATGCTTTAATCAAAAGTAAATCAGGTGGTGCTGCCAACAAAAGCACCACGTCATCTGACCTTCTAGCATCAATATATTGGGATGAGGTAATTATTTGGCTTTGGTGCATTGATGAAACAGTCAGTTAATTTGTAGTTAGACAAAAAAAGAAGAAAGTGTCCCTTTTTATATTTTACAAGTTGGAATGTTGTCGCTGTTAACAATTGAACATCAATGTTTTCCTATGCATTGTGTTGTGCTTTCTCAAAAATTCACTTGTTTCTCCTGTGCTCCCCCTTTCTTCCCCTCTCCCAGTTATGGCTCCTGACTTTATTTCGTTCTTAACCCCACAGGTTCCTTAGAGTTGCTTATGATTTTACAATTTAAATTGTTGTTGCTGTTAAATATTTGAAGTGTAGAACATCAATATTTTATTATTCATCGTTAAGACCTATCACCATCTGGATCTTGATTGATTGAAGTTTTATGCATTTTCAAAAAATTCACTTGCTTTTCCTATGCCCCCCACTCCCAATTAATCCCGGCTTTATTTTTTTTATTCTAACCCTTACAGGTTCCTGCATCAAAAACGTTGATAACACCTCACCGGTGCAAATTGATTTGGAAACAATTTGGAACTCAGACAAGATCTACCGTCTTCCAAGCTAGGACTGCTAAGGCATGATATTTCAATTACATCTGCAAATTTCTCTTTTTTATTATTATTATTATTATTATTTTTTTTTTAAATTTATTTTTATGGCAGACTTTTATTTTGCCACTTGGAATTTGATGAATTTCAAAAATTGAAGCAAAATAATATGCAACTGGGCAACTGCATAAAATAATGAGTTGACAACTCTTTGCATAATGATTACAAGCATAGTGCATCAGATTTAAGTTTGTAGGCTCTTATGGGGGAGTGTATTTGTTGTCATCTCTCATTCAAGAAGTTTTCTTATAGCTTGTTTCTTGAATTTCAGGAGGCTTGCGAATTGGAGAAGATAAGGAAGGTGAATTTGTTACTAAGTTTTGTGCGTATGTCTTGGGGCGGTGTTTCATTTTAATACCTATTACTATGTTTGTTTGTACTTACCTTCAAAAAATGTTTGTTTGTCTACTTTTGTTATCCTATTATTGGAATTAAAATTCTTAGTAATTACAAAACATATTACTCTTTTACTCTCCTTTTGAACAATGGAATCAAAAGGGAGAAAAAAATGAAAAATAAAATAAAAAGGTTTTTGTCCATACATTAAATATGAAATTTTAATATATATATATATATATATATATATATATATATATATATATATTTATTTATTTATTTATTTTGATTTTAAATAATCATTTATTTATTTTAATTACATTTTTAATTTATTATTATTAAACAAAACGACTTTTTCTACTTAAACTCATCACCATTGTTAAGTATTTGATTTTCATTACCATTTCGATTCTAATGTTTTAATCAAACACTTGTGTATAACTTCAAATGTGACTTTCCTTTATAACAAGGTAGAAAGCATTGAGATTTTGAGATAAAGTAAGTTTTAATTTTGGTCATGTTAATTGCACTTTACGACTTTTAAAAGTGTTAATTTAGTACTTTGATTATGCAATTCTTATCAATTTTGGTTATTCCGGTCAAATTGTTGGCCAAATTTTGACAGAAAAACTTAATTCATCGATTAGTATTTAATTTGAAGGGTGAATTTGTCTTTTGAACTTATGGTTTGAATTAAACAAAGTCAATTTTTAACTTTTGAAAGTTGAAAGTTGTAGATTACAATTAACAAGATCCTTATAGTAAGAGGACAAAATTTGAAAATTACTCTTTGTTAGTTTTTCTGTGATTGGTGCAATGTTGAAAAAATCGCTAGGCGCCTGGGGACCGCCTAGGGCGCCTAGAGCGCCTAGCCGGGCGCCTAGGCCGCCTAGAGCGCCTAGCCGGGCGCCTAGGCCGCCTAGGAGGTCGGGCGCCTAGCGCCTAGACGCCGATTAATTGGCGCCTAGGCGCGATTTTTGCAACAGTGGATTGGTGCTTTCAATATTGTTGTGGTACTAATTATTGTTGGGTTGCTATTACTTTAGTTAGTGTTCGGTAGAAACTAGAAAGCACATTAGGCTTTAGGGTATTATAAATTTCACAAGACATTGTTTCCTCTAGGTTACTTTGTTAATCGATCATGTTCTTTGATGAAAACGGCGTGCAGTTGTTTGAGAAACTCAATGGATATTGGTAAGACGTGAAAAAGGAAGATGAGAGAAACGTCTATTTAATTACTAACAATAGCAAAGAATAAATACATACAAAGAAACTAAGGTAAGCTACTGGAACCAAGACTATGTGGTCTAATGGTACCCGGGTTGGACTTCCATTTGGAAGATTATGAGTTCAAGCCTCAGCGGAGGCGTTATTGGTTCTTTGTGTTTCAGTAGGTTGAGAAAGTATATGAACAAGGAATATACAGTAAAAAAATCTACCAGAATTGATCTTCATTATTTGCTTCCTTATTCATCATGCCCCCCCCCTCAAGTTGGAGTGTGAAGGTTCACAACGCCCAACTTGCCCAGAAGAAAATGGAACCTATCCTTTCCTAGTGCTTTGGTGAACAAATTAGTCAGTTGGACCTTTGTGTGTACTTTATGTGGAGTAATCTCATTAGATCGTACTCTCTCGCGAACAAAATAACAATCCATCTTTACATGCTTAGTTCTTTCGTGATACACCGGGGGTGTTGCATGCATCTGACAAGCCCTGAGTTCAGATAGTAACCAATGCAACCATAGTAGTTCACTCACAGTGACAACCATTGCCCTGTACTCTGCTTCTGCAGATGACTGAGAAACTACAGATTGTTTCTTTGTTCGCCAAGAAACTGGGGAACCACCTAAAGATATATAATAACATGTGCATGAGTGACATGTGGTAGGACATCCTTCCCAATCAGTGTCACAATAAGTCGTGAGTGTTAGACTTCCAGCTTTAGATAGTAACAAGCCTTGCCCGGGCGCTCTTTTCAAGTAACACAGAACACGTGTGGCAGCATCCATGTGTTCTTGTCGCGGCTCCGTGACAAACTGGCTCAGGACATTAACAACATATGTTATATCTGGCCGTGTGACAGTAAGGTACAAAAAGCGCCCTATCAGCCGTTGATACTGATTAGCATCAGCTAGAGCACCTGAGCTATCTACTCGAAGCTGATGATTCTGCTCCACAGGAAATCCACTAGTTTGGCAACCTTGCATATCACACTCACTTAGGATATCTAACGCGTATTTCTGTTGGCTTAAAACCAACCCATGTGCTGTCCGTGATACGTCTATACCAAGGAAGTATTTTAGAGGGCCTAAGTCTTTGATCCCGAATCCGGCATCCAAGTAGGATTTAATTTCTTGTATCTTGGCATGATCATTGCCAGCAAGAATGACATCGTCAACGTATATTAAGGCAATAAGAAATTGTGCACCATGTTTATATAAAAACAAGGAATGATCAGCCTTGGATTGTTGAAATCCCACGTTAATAAGCGCATTCGTAAACTTTTGATGCCAATTGCGCGAGGCTTGCCGCAACCCATACAAAATTTTTTTTAATTTGCAAACTTTTGTCTCATCATGCTGCCCAAAACCTTCAGGAATGCGCATGTAAACCTCTTCATGCAAGTCACCATGAAGAAATGCGTTATTTACATCAAGTTGGTGAATTTCCCAACATTTCTTGACTGCAACAGCTAATAAACAGCGCACGGTGACTAGCTTGGCAACTGGTGCAAAAGTTTCGTGATAATCGATACCCTCTACCTGTGTGTAACCTTTAGCTACGAGACGCCCTTTGTATCGCTCTACTTCTCCATCAGGCTTGTACTTCACTTTATAAACCCACTTGGAGGCTATCGCTCTTTTGTTTGGTGGAAGCTCAATTATATCCCATGTCCCATTTGCTTCTAGTGCGACAATTTCTTTTCGCATCGCATCTCGCCACTGTTCATGTTTGACCGCTTGCCTGAACGTTCTCGGCTCATCATGATTAGTGATGGCCGCTAAAAAGGCTTTGTGTGAACAAGAGAAATTGTCATAAGAGACATAATGAGATAAGGGATATACCGTTGAGGATGCTGAATGATGGGTAGATGGCGTTGGCACTAGTGAGGGTGGCAATGTTATTTCATAATTCTCCAAATATTTTGGTACACTTCTGGTACGTTGGCTTCTATGCTGCAGTTGCACGTTCTGATGAGGCGCTGGTGGCTCTACAGGTTCATGGTTCTCGGTAGCATGTATATTTGCCAATTCACTTGTCTCAATAAGTGTAGTATTATCATTTTCCACCTCAAGGTGATTATTCACAAAGTGGTTATGTTCTGTACTGCCATTACTTGCTTCCTGGCCTGCACAATCTTCTGAATGGCATAATGCTCATCGTCCATAGGCTCTAAACGAGAGTGTGGGCACTCAACCCGTGATTCCAAGTCATGAACACTGTTTTTAAGAGGGAATATATTTTCAATAAAACTCAGGTCTCTAGTGGTGGAAAAGGTTCCATCATTTGGGTTATACACTCTATACCCTTTCTGCCCATTTGGATATCCTACAAAAATGCATGGTTTCCCTCTCTCATCGAACTTGTCTCCCTTTCGATTATGTACATAAGTCAGACACCTAAAAACACGCAAGTGGCTATAATATGGTTTTCTCCCCATTAAGATCTCATAAGGTGTTTTATCCTTAATGGCTTTAGAGGGTAATTTGTTAATGATGTATATAGCAGTTAAAATGCATTCCCCCCCAAAATTCAATTGACAAATCGGCTTGGAATTGTAATGCTCGTGCCATTTCTAGGATATGCCTATGCTTTCTCTCAACTACCCCATTTTGTTGTGGGGTGTCTGGACAAGAGCTTTGTAAAATAATGCCACGCTCTTTATAATAATCTAGCATGTAATTTGATCTAAACTCCATGTCATTACCAGCTCGAATTTGCTTAACCACCTTCCCAAATTGGATGGAAATCATGTTGCAAAATGAAACAAGATGGTGGCTAACTTCAGACTTATGTTTCATCAAATATACTCAAACACCTCTACTAAAGTCATCCACAATAGTGAGAAAATAATGCGCACCAGAAAAAGAAGCCGTTTTGTAACCACCCCAAATATCACAGTGAATAAGATCAAAGCAAGATTTAGTTTTAATGCTACTAACATGAAAAGACAGGCGAGATTGTTTAGCACGCATGCATGAATCACAGTAGAGATTATTCTTACTAGAAACCACATAATCTAACTGAATTTTCTTAATCTTTGTAATAGAAGCATGACCAAGCCTCCTATGCCAAACATCCGGGTCCTCTCTGTTAACTGACATTGCCACACCCTCACGAAATGTTGGCTCCAAGTAGTAAAGGCCATTGCACATCCTACCCACTCCAATCAGTTTCCTCGAGGGTAAGTCTTGCAGTATACAAAAAAAAGTTAGTGTACAATTGTAATCCTTTGTCAGCTTGCCAACAGAGATCAAATTGCACTTAAAATTCGGGATGTTCAAGACACGGTTTATTTGCAACCCATTAGGAAGCTTAATACTTCCTATGCTTTTAACTGCCACTCGGTCTCCATTCGGTATGACGACGGGAAAATCACCATTTTCAAGCTCCACTCTATTCAATAGATCACTGTCACACACTATGTGATCTGTTGCTCCAAAATCTATCACCCACGAGTTTCGTTTATTAATCTTACCAGCCATGTTAACAGTTGGGTTTGTTGATGTCCCATCATGCTTGAATTTGTCTTCGTCTGTATTCAGGAACTGAACAAGTTTTGTCAATTGGGCTTGTGTAAGACTTCGTAAGGGATTCACATCTGCATCAACATGGGCTATTTTTGGCGTTGCTTTCTGGTTTGTGTATTGCCCTCCTCTCTTATCACGAGGACCTTTCCGCCAATGTGTGGGATAGCCAATTATTTCATAGCATTGATCTTCAGTATGTCCAATCTTCTGGCAGTGTGCACAAATGGGTTTATCCATTCTTCGTCCTCTGCCATCCTTTTCATTGGAAAATCTCTGTGTTTGGAATGCTGTAGATTCAACCACTGGTTTATGAGTGGCTGAGACTTGTCTTTGCTACTCGTCTTCAGAAACCATATGATACGCTCTACTAAGGCTTGGCGTTGGTTTTGAACTGAGAATCTGTGACTTCACTACATTAAATTCTTCATCCAATCCCATCAAAAAATCATATAACTGCTCATTCTCCTTCATATCGGCCAACTGCTTTGATATATTGCATGTGCATCCATTGCAAACACATCTTGGTAGTGGAGAGATTGCCATCGTCTCGTCCCAAAGGCTTTTCAATTTTGTGTAGTAAGACGAAACATAAACCTTTTCTTGTCGTAGGAGTACCACTGCTCGCCTAATCTCAAAGGCTCTTGGTGCACTTCCCTTCTCAAACCTTTCTTCCAGGTCCTCCCAAATATCTCTGGCTGTATTGGCGTATCTTACACTGTTTCTCATGTCCTTGTCCATTGCACTCTTTAGCCAACCTTTCACCATAGCATTCAACGCATCCACTGTTGTAAATATGGTGAGTCGGGTGTCGGTGTGGACAGAGATCCATCTACAAAACCCATCTTGTTTTTGGCAAACAATGCATCTCGCATATCATTTACCCACTCTCCGTAGTTGCCATCACGGAGGACTTCAGTATCATAAATGTTGAGTTTGTCTCATATATGGATTAGGAATATGAGTTTGTCTCATACTAGGAGTAGGAGTGAAACGGATAGACCCTTTGTACAGGTATTAGATGTCTATAAATATATTGGTTGTATCCCTAAGTGGTTGTGTCACCACTATCATCATCACTATGAATATAATAATACTTTCACTCCCGTGGATGTAGGCACATTGTCAAACCACGTAAATCTTGGCTTCTTTATCTTTTATGCCATTATTATTTTTCTTGTTCTTGTTCATCTCAACAAATTGGTATCAGAGCACTATTGAGATGGCCAGTTCAAGTGCAAAATTTGAGGTATCAAAGTTTGATGGTATAGGGAATTTTGGGTTATGGCGGTCTAGCGTAAATGATTTGTTGGCATATCAGGGCCTTCTGAAAACCTTGAGGGCGGAAAATCCAGCAAATCTGGAAGAGGCTGATTGGAAGGAGTTGAAGAAGCAGGAAGCTACGGGATGTGGTACATGCTGATGACTCTTATTATAGTAAAGGTGATGTTCTAGCAGTTACAAGGAACAAGTTCGAACGTTGTTTGGACTTGTTGGATGTTTCTAGATGCTAGATGAGAAAGTGGTGATGGGCGCTGTAGTGTTGGGCAGCGCGGATACCAGGAGGGGTCGCGGACCTGGTATCGGTATCGACCGGGGCTTGGCACGAGTCACGGTTGGTATGGGCCGGGCTTGGCAGGAGGTACGGTTGGTATGGACGGACGCTTCAAGGCGAAGCAGTTCGTGAACATGCACGGGGAAACGTTTGATGCTGCATGGTGTGTGTTGCTGACCAGTGGCAATTGCTGGTTAGTGGAGCATTGGGCAAGGCACACGGATTTAATGTGACTTTGTAGGGGCGCTGTTGTGTTAGGGGCAGCATGGATACCAGGAGGGGATATGAATATGGTATGAGTCGGGCTTGTCATGAGTTACGGCTGGTATGAGCTGGACTAATATGGCTTGGTGTTACGGATTGCTTGGGACGAAGCAGTTCGTGAACATGCACATGGAAACGTTTGATGGTGCATGTTGCGTGTTGCTGGCCAGTGGTAATTGCTGGTTAGTGGAGCATTGGGCAAGGCACACGGGTTTAGTGTGATTTTGCAGGGGCGCTATTGTGTTGGGGCAGTGTGGATACCAGGAGGGGACATGGACCTGGTATGAGCCAGATGCAGGAGGTCAGCTAAACGAGACAGTTAGCATTAGTCGCGGCTGGTATAACAAGTCGACGGCTGAGGGCGAATGGCTTGGGACAAAGCGGTTCGTGTACATGTGCTGGGTAACGTTTGATGCTGCGTATGCGTGTGGCTGGCTAGTTGGGATGAGCATGGTTGTTCCTACCCATGTGTATATGTGAGATAATATATATATTAGGAATATGAGTTTGTCTCATACTAGGAGTAGGAGTGAAACGGATAGACCCTTTGTACAGGGATTAGATGCCTATAAATATATTGGTTGTATTCCTAAGGGATTGTGTCACCACTATCATCATCACTATGAATATAATAATACTTTCACTCCCGTGGATGTAGGAACATTGCCGAACCACGTAAATCTTGGCTTCTTTATCTTTTATGCCATTATTATTTTTCTTGTTCTTGTTAATCTCAACAAATAACATGCCCTGGAGCATCAGAAGCATGTAAGAAATATGGCGACATGACATCTATGCAACCAGGCAAAACTTCTGTTGCTTTCGATGCCATCTTACCATGCTGTGTCTTTTCTGTTTCTTCACCGCTTTCATCCGATGTCTTCGGCGTAACATCTTTCGCCTTGTCATAACCTGACTCTGATGCCATGATGAAAACGTCGTGCAGTTGTTTGAGAAACTCAAGGGACATTGGTAAGACGTGAAGATGAGGGAAAAGTCTATTTAATTACTGACAATAGCAAAGAATAAATACATGCAAAGAAACTAAGGTAAGCTACTGGAAAGGAAACTAAATCACTATATATAAAGAATATACAGTAAAGAAATATGCAAGAATTGATCTTCATTATTTGCCTTCCTCATTCATCATTCTGCATTATTTGCTTCCTTATTCATCATTCTTCCCTATTAAAGCCTTGGAGTTGGTTACGTGATAATGTCTCTTTGTGTTGATGATATACTAATATTTAGTGCAAATTTTAATGCTATAAGTGCAACAAAAAGATCATTATCTATTAATTTTTCCATGAAAGATTTGGTTTAAGTTGTGTTATTCTTGGTCTAAAAATTATTAGTGAAAATGGATACATTTTGTACCAAAGTCACTATGTAAAAAAATTGTTGAAAAAGTTCAATAATTATGATGTGACATTGGTTATCACACATTATGATTTTAGTGTAAAATTGAAAAAGAATCAATAGGCATGTGTAACTCAGAAGAATATGCCAAAAGTATTGAAAGTCTAGAGTTCGTTAACTAACCTGAAAATTTATCCATTTTTTTTTTTTTGATAAATTAGAGAATTAGAGAACAAAAATATGTCAACTTTGATAGCTCACTAACGCTGCACCAATGTACGCAACGGCGGTGAAAGATGAGCACCGAACGCACTTTGATAGCTCAGTCAATGCCTTGTCTTTCGGGTTCGTCGCCAACGCCATTCTCATCTCCATGTTCCTTGTCATGGCTATTTTTGAGTGGTTACTTGTTGGTCTTATGACTTTCGGGCATGCAACGGTACCGTTGAATAACGAGAAAAAGTATATGGCGAAAATATATGAATGTTGTATTGAAGAGTATAATTCGTGAATTGTTGAAAATAGTCCCTCTCCTCTATGTAAGGGGTCTATTTATACATATTTTGGACCTAGAGCCCTACAAAGAATAAGAATTCTAGAGTGTCTCATATTAAGAGTCTTAGTTACATAATGGGACCTAATTCTATTATACTAGAGATAATGAGTCATATTCTACTTATATTGGGAATAACAGGCTCAATCCTTGACAAACTCTTGAGTTGCTCCATGTCGTATATCTTTTTTAGGCTTCTTTGATCCAGTTGCTTTCATGGGCCAGTCCATGTGGCCCAGGCCTAGTATATTATCTATCATCCAGTCCCTTACTTTCTTAAGATTTCGAGAACTCAATAACTCGGGAAAGTATTTTGAATTGCTCTCTAGTATAATAATAGTAATAATAATAATAATAATAATATTATTATTATTATTGAAAGGGCGGCAATATTTGCACCATACGGGGAAACATGTTACACTGCAAGAAGCATTAATATATATGCTTTGTATACATAGATTCAAAACACATGCAAAGTAACAAGTGCACCCTGCATATATATTTTACATATTTATATACACCTCCTGTGTAACTGTGTAAGGCAATTTAAACAAATGGATCATGGGAAGCTAACCACGCATGTGTGTATATCCATGTCAGTAGCAGCGCAGAGGAAAGCGATCGGTCCTGTGTATCTGTTTTTATGAAAAGAGTAGATACAGGCAAGATGGATTGACAATTACGCTGTCCTAGGTATGAGTATGTGGCTAAAGCGAGGGGGGGGGGGGGGGGGAGGGATTCTTTCTTTATCCGAAGGGTAAGCCCATGCGTTGTATCTATGTAAGTATTGTTCCCACATTATAGTATGTTGTATGAAGCAGACACTAGCTAATAACCTGCGCACATCATATTCACGTACGAATAGAGTGCGGATGGTGAGAACTGTAGGATAATGAGTCTCCCTGTTAAACACTTACATTAAGCTTCCTGCAAATAAGAAAAATCATAGCTGAGCACCATAAAGTCAAACCTTATACACAGGGACGGAGCCAAAGGGGGCAGGGGGCTGTTCACCCCACCCCATCCCATATATAATTTTTGTATGTATATGTGTATGTATAGTACATATGTTAGTATTAGTAAAATAAAACTATTAAATGTCAACAAGAGTTGATTTTAGATGAGTTGGTTGAACACATGTTAGTTGTGATAAAGGATAGGGGTTCGGATTTTGAAACATTAACATATTGTTATAGTTGGTTTTTTTTTTTACTCCTTCCCTATGGTTTCAACACAGTCACGTTTTTTAATATTTAACACACACACACACACACACACACACATATATATATATATATATATATATATATATATATATATACCATTCTTTTGTATTAATAATGAGATGTGTTTATTTTTTTAAATTATCTCTTTTATTTTAATGTTTTACATGTACTAATTTTTTTTTTTGAATCCTTCCCTACTTCTTTGCCCCTCAACCAAATTTTTGCTCCATCCCTGCTTATACAAGTCTCTTCTCTTCCTAGCTATGTCATGCCTTGTCAGGTGTTGGAACTCACAAAGCCCAAGATATTAAGAAACAAATGCCTAAGTGCTCATTCCAGTAAAACAGGCCATCTTTTCTTCCTTCCCCAAATTGCTGTTGAGGCAAAAAACCATTTTCAAATTCCCTACTCCTCTGTATCTTCTCATTTCTTCCCCTCACTCTCTCTCTCTACTCTTTGCGCTCTTCTTCCATTTTGCTCCTCTTCCGGACGCCATCACAGCTGCGGGTAAGTCACCTTCTTGGTTGGCCAATGCTTATAATTTTGACTGTGAGTTATGTGTCCTGCCCGCTCTATCTTCTCGCCAACTCCTTCTTCTTTTTTTTTTTTTTTTTTTTTTGTGTGTGTGTGTGTGTGTGTGTGACTTACAAGTACATAGTAGTAAATATAAATGTGCGAAACAATACGCCATGAAGCCGAACTCTACAGTTCTGATGAAATTTTTGTCGTTGAGTACTGTCAGGCATGGGTCAAATGCAGGGTCACCAGCTGCTAGCCGTTCGCTGTGGTAGGGGCACGAATCACTTCTTCG